ATGTTGAATCCCAACCTATTCTCATCTGCCCACCGCTGTAACCTGTCTAGGTCTGATTGTAGCCTATTCCTTCCCTCTACTGTGCCCACATCCCCCCACATCTTAGTGTCGTCTGTGAATTTGAACAGGGTGCTTTTTACCCACTCATCCAAGTCACTGATGAAGATGTTGAACAGTGCAGGCCCGAGAACTGAGCCCTGGGGGACCCCACTGCCCACATCCCTCCAGGTCGAATGAGACCCATCCACCACCACTCTCTGGGTGCAGCCCTCCAGCCATTTAGTGACCCAATTGACTGTGTAGATGTTGACGCCACAGTCCCCTAGTTTTTTAACAAGAACGAGATGAGAGACAGTGTCGAAGGCCTTCCAAAGGTCCCGAAAAACTATGTCCACTGCTACCCCCGTGTCTAAGGATTTTGTGACCTGGTCATAGACAGCCACCAGGTTGGTCTGACAGGACCTACCTCGAATGAACCCGTGTTGATTGCCTCTAAGCATAATCTCCCCTGCTGGCCACTCGTGGACATGTGCCAGGATAATTCTCCCAAAGTTTTACATTACTGATTGCTAAGGTTAAGACTTAAAAGGCTCTTTTTGTTTTCATTTTGAGTCCCATACATATGTTTCAGTGAACCAGATTTGCAACCAGACTTTTCAGTGCTCCTGAAACAAGACTTTTGAATGAATCCATCCCCTGTTACTTACTCCTGTTCATTATCTATAACCATGTTTCCCCCCTACCTGCCGTTTCTCTCCTTCATTTTTTTCCAGTTCAGCATGCTGTTGAAGGCGGTGAAGGCATTCTGTTTTCTCTGCAGATAGCCTCTCAGACATCAGCTTATCTAAAACACGGAGCTGTGGTAGAACGGAAAACCCCAGTTATATGGCCATGTATAAAACCAACTCCTGTCTTATAACATATCTGGAAAATTTTTATTCTCATTGCAGTTTAAAAAATTAGGTTTCACTTAGCAGCGTTGTTGGTCTAAGGACATAGGCAGGCAAGGTTCTTTGGGTAGATGTGATATCTTTTATTAGATCAAAGAAATAGTTGGAAAAAAGTTCTTTGCAAATTTTCAGGCACAAACACCCTTCTTCAGACCATTCCAGCAGAGTCTCCTAATGTATGTCATAACTAACTAATGGTATGGTATATCATAACTAACCATTAGTTGTGACATACCATTATTCCCTGGAACCTACATGGAAAATCTTCAAACAATTGCAACCCATACTAGAAGACAACCCAATTCTTAAGGAGATCTTCCCAGAACCACCTATCCTAGTCTTTAAACAAGCACCAAACCTCGCTAACCTCATCACCAGAAGCAAACTCCCTATGACCCAAACCATACCAAATGGATCCAGCCCATGCCAGGACAAGAAAAGTAAAACCTGCCAACACATCGCCACTCCCAGAATAACTACACCTCACAACAGAATGCTTACCATTCCTGGATCTTACACCTGCACCTCCAGAAGTGTAATATACTGGTTTCCCTTGCTTTATGCAGGTTCTATATATGCAAATTCACTCTTATGTGATGACCCTTTTTACACCCCAAATTCATTACGTGTGAGGTAAGTCTGTAGGGGAAGGTATGGGGGCAGGGGCACGGCGCAGCTGAGTGGCTACAGGCAGGTGGAGTCGGCTGGTCCCGGGGCTGCAGCAGGGAGCAAAGTGGAGGGAACTGTCAGTGGGTGCGGGTCGCAGCGGTGCAGCTCTTGTTGATATGCTCACCCTGGGAGGGCTGTGGGCTGGGGGTCTGTGCCGGGCTCTCCCCAGGGAGTATGTGTCCTCAGATCTGTGCGCGGGACAAGAACAGGCTACTGTTGCACTGGGGATGGCAGCGGCCTGCTCTCATTCCGCATGCAGATCCGGGGGCACACGCCCCCCCAGGCCACAGCCCTCCCAGGTGCACGTAGCAACAACAGCCGCGCCTCCCCATCCCATGCCCCAGCGTCACTCCCTCCCTCCCTCACCACCATGGGAACATATCCCTATTTGTTACCTTATAAACTGGATTCTCTTTATGCAAATTCAAGTTACATGCAGTTTTCCGGGAACACATGTACCACATAAAGCAAGGCAAACCTGTATCTCATCCAGTGCACCAAATACCCGGATGGAAAATATGTAGTACCAATCAAACAACAACCAGAATGAATGCACACCAACAATCCACCAAAGACAAAAATATCCAATTACCTGTGGGTGCTCACTTCTCACCAGACAACCACTGCCTCTCTGATCTCTCAGTTCTAATCCTCAAAGGGAATTTACAACACGCCCTTCATAGCTGAGGCTACAAACTTCACTTCATAAATCTACTGGATACAAAAAATCAAGGACTCAATATAGACATTGGATTTATAGCACATTACAACCTGCCTGACATCTGATTCAACAGGTACTTGCTTGAACTTACCATTTACACATTTTTCCCTCCTTTCCTCCCCTCCCCTCCTTCTCTACCCTTTGTTCTCCTAACTTCCACCTATTTACTTTTTCACAGACTGCCTCATTTCTACCTTGGAGAACTCAATACTACAGCAGTCTCCCATGCTTACCTTTTGCATTCCTTCACCCATTATTTCCTCCTCTTTCCCCTCCTCCCCTCCCTCCTCTACCCATTGTTTTCCAAACTTCCACCTATTTATATTTTCACTGACCTCCTGTCACATTTGTAGCTTCTTTCCAACCTTGGAGATCTCAGAATAGCAGCAGAGTCTCCCAGTGCCTGAAGAAGGGTGCTTGTGCTCAAAAGCTTGCAAAGAACGTTTTTTTCCCAACTACTCAGTTAGTTTAATAAAAGATATCACACCTACCCAAGGAACCTTGCCTGCCTACGTTTTACTTTAATTTTTTTAAAAAGATCAAACCATGAAAATTAAAAACATTCACAAAGCTTGAACCATATTTCCAGTGCTAATGGGGAAATAATGACATTAGATATCTGGACCATTTTCTTACCTGATGTTGAGTTCTGTTCTCCATCTGACCTAGCTTGGCATTCATATTATCCTGCACTGTCCCAAACTCAGCTTTTATTTCTTCCACGGTTGCCTCCAGCTGATTCTCCAGTTTATTGATCAAGGGCTCACAACGACATCCATTTATCGGAGCCTGGGAGAATAAGGAATAGCAGTAGCTTGCTGTATCCCTCTGCCCATATTAACATGCCCTGACACAGTAAATTTTCACACCTCCTTAATTGAACTTCCTGCACACCCAGCCAATCTGGTTTGGTACTGTGTTATTCTCCTGGCAATTTCTCAGGGGCTTCAGGAGGAAGGAAACAAGTGTCTGCAGAGTATTTTGTTTGGAAAAAAAACTAAAATGTTAAGTTAGTTCAGATTTGCATGGATAAACTTTTTGTGCCCAACACTTCCTCAGCACCACCAAGAACAAATAAATTAATGATAATAATAATTATGCTTCAGGTCTATTTCTTGAATTCATATCCAATATTATTCATTCTTATCTTTGGACTTTTCTAATACATCCTGTCTCCATCTATTGGGACCTCTGGCAACCAGGGCCACATAGAGAGTTTGAGATCAACATAAACACACTTCACTGTCTGCCAATTTCCTTCTCTAACCTTCTGGTATATATATTTCCCCAAATGTACTATGGGAATGAAGCTATATATCTGAATACCTTAGGGATAGCTCTAAGGAGCCAATCTCGGAAACTGAAGTGCTTCTCTTCCAAAGGTGCCTTGATACAGTACACGTTAAAGCAGCAGTAGGACTACAGAAGTTTGATGAAATATACCCAATTAAATTACAATCCATTCCTTACATTTGAAGGACAATATATTCCAATAGGGGACCTATTTGATAGTTTACCAAATGCCTTTGTGCTGTTCTAAAAATGGATTTGGGCAACTATTTGCAATTCTCAGCTAGGTGGCTCATGCTAATTCAAACAAATGAGTGGAAACTCTGTTGCATATTTATTAGGGCTCACAAGTGCAGTGTTTGAAGTGGAGTGAATGTATACAAGTTGATGCACCTCACTTTGGGCAAGCTCCCCACTGCACATGCAGGTAGCCGACCCCCATCCATTCAATGCGGATGAGAACAGGATGGGTTTCAACACAGACAAGTGCAAGGTACTGAACCTGGGGAGGAAGAACCAGCACCATAACTACAGGGTGGGAAACTCCCTTCTCGTCAGTGCAGAGGCAGAAAAGGATCTTGGAGTCATCACTTATGCCAAAATGAACATGGGCCGACAGTGTGGGGACGTGGTCAGGAAGGCCAACCGCACCTTGTCATGCATCCACAGATGCATCTCAAGCAGGTCGAAGGAGGTGATCCTCCCCCTCTATGTGACACTGGTCAGGCCGCAGCTGGAGTACTGCATCCAGTTCTGGGCAGCGCACTTCAAGAGGAATGTGGACAA